GATGGCGGTTCACCTTATGTTAAGTGATAACCGCCGCCCATGGACATTTGCAACAACCGTAGGGTTGCAGATGCGTTGTCACCTTTTAATAAAGTAAGCCCCGGCTACCTCACTCCCCAGACGAAACGCATAAGTGTAACACTTCTACTTCATGCCGGTCTTCTGTGAGTTCGTGGTTCTAACCCGTGTGGACCTACCCATTCGTGCAACAACAAACACTGTTGCGTGGTTCTACACACAGTTAAAGTTAAGAAACTTAAGAAAGTTCATGATATAGTCTCGAAAAAGATTATAAATAATGGCATGGTTTCATTCCGTAGAAAACTTAGTAAAAGACATTGCTAATTCAGATATTATTTAACATTTTAACTCTATAAAATCCGTCTGATTTAATGGCAATAAAAAGTTCCTAATACCAGGAAACAAGTCGACGGCCTCTTGAATTTTGTGTAAGCGCGCGTCGTGGTGTAGAAGACATTTTCACAGATTAAACTCTGAACATAATCACCACTCTTTTAAGTCAAGGCAATACGTGCCTTTTAAACGAATTAAAAAATAAAAACAAAGCTTGTAAACAGCCGCTGTCTGACCAGGGTAATATTTTACGCGGTAATCGTTGTTAGTGGCTCGGCGTCGCTCCGGGGAAAGCCTTTTACAAACATTTTCAATGTGGGCAAACACTCCCGCCGAGTAGTAAAGTGATGACTAGCTTTTGCACGCCACCTCGCCCGCTTTGATCTCGATTTGGCAGATGACTCGTATTTTTTTTCAGTATTCACTCAAACAATAGTTTTCGTGATTTTATTATTCAATTTTTCGAAACATAATCAACGCCCATCTCCAATCGATGGATGATATTAAAAAACATAGATTTTTGGTAGATCGTCACCAAGTACTATACTGTAAGACCAGCTCGCTTATTTATCGCTTGAGATTCGCTTTTAGCTCAGTATATAGGCGGGCTGTGACTCAACGCCCTTCACACAGTAGCATGAATATGTATAGGCTATATATTTTTTTTACTTTTACTAACTATTAAAGCCTAATGTCGGTTTCAATATCCTATCTACAGATAGATTTGGTTACTAACGAAAGATATATTACATCACTACATGGTATCAAACAAAGTCGTCCCGCTGTCTGTCTGTTCCTATGTATGCTTAGATCTTTAAAACTACGCAACGGTAAAATGCAACTCGATTTAATTGAATTTATTCAATTTGAACTTATTCAATATTATTACAGAAGTACTAATGGTGAAATATTTTTCTATTAAAGATGCTAGTACTTACAAGACGAACTGAATCATATGATTGTGGATGCTGGGCAAATGTCTCCTCTTTCAGAAAAAGTAGGTCATAGTCCGCTTAGCTATTACTGTAAAAAATATGAATAACATTTTCTATATTATTATTAGCGATTAGGTAAGTAAGAGAAAAGCATGTCAACCACGGCTAAATCGAATCGCCTAAAATTTTACGGAAGCCATTATCGCGTTCCGAAACCAGTGCATTCAATACAATTGGTCGAAGAAAGTTAAGAAAGCGTCCACTTCAGTAATTCGCGAACGATTTTAAGTTTTAGTTTAGAACATTCACTTCGGCGGACTGCTCTCCTTCTGATGCTTCGCGAAGCAACGCAAACCATTTTCGCCTTTATAACGTTTGTGTAAAGTCGGTAATGCGTTGCGGGTGACTTGTGACGCTCCACGAGAAACGACTGAGCGTCAAGATGGCATTGTTCGCCAGTGAGAGGCGGCGAGTGCAGTCGAGCGCATTTTGTTATATTTCGAGCACAATGCAACCGCTTCGGCGCCTCCCCGTACTGTTGCGTACAGCACGCTATCACTTTCCTATTTCAACACTTTTTAGCGCGACTGTATAAAGCACGCAACGCGACTGAATATTTTTTCTCAGTACTTTATTAATAAATTAGCTATCTAATTCATTTCGCCATTGGACACGTTTAGGGAAAAAAGATGTGCTTTTTCATTGTAGTTTGGTGATTTCACAACTTTACACAACTTTTGTTTCTTCTTTTTTTTTTTTTTATTATCAGTCGCCCAATGTTAGAAATTCGGCCATGATTTATTAAATTATAATCATTTTTTTCATTACTCATTCAGCCATATATGTATTATGTACTACAATCTTTAATAAAGAATCTACAATCTCTAGTCTGTACTAAAGATTGCAAATGCTTGGTCACAGACTATTATAACACTACTAGTTGGATGACTCCATCCATTCTATTTATCATTCCTAAACTAATTCTCTAATAAAAATATAAACGTAAATAGAACATGACGATAAAATTCAAGTGTTTCTCTAAAACGCTTAGCTCTAGTCAAGGAAACTTCCAACCATTAGTAACAATACAAAGTTAGCAAGGCTATGATTACGCTACACGGCCCGTCTTATCAGCGATGAAATAGCGTTTCCAGAACCATACCGTTTTATGTTTCACGCTATAAGAGTGCATTATACGGTATTCTTTACTTCATAAATCTGTTTTAAATTCTTAAATTATTACCACTCCTCTTAGTTTTCTTTGCGTTATTTTTAATAAAAATAACTGTTTTAAGAATATCTCGCAATTTAGAAGCGTTATGATTTAATATGTAAACATTTTAAAGAGGATAAAGGTGTCTTATCAAGTGGCGCGACACTTATTAGTGTATTAATGATAAAATTTTACTTGCAATAATAACATTTTTATCCTCTGTGATACATTTGAAAATAATTAAAAATACAACTATTTTCTTATGATTCTGTAGAATTTGTTAATTTTCGCATGGATCCCACACCTACATCAACAAATTTATATGACACCGTTCCCAAGAGATTTCCTTTAGAACAAAAGATGTTTGAAATACTTTATAAATTTTTAAAAGTTATACAGTTTCCGAATAATCGAGACGATCCACGTTGTTTGAAGTCGATTAAACAGTGTTTGATAAACGTTTCTAATGCTTTTCAAACCTTGCCCGTTATTTGGCGCACGCCCTTGACGCATGACACTTATTGTTGGACGAATTCCTATAACGATTGTGTTTTAAACACAACAGTGGTATGAAATAAACGTGTCGTTTTGCGAACGAAAAACGTTTTCGTAAACCGTTACGTGCTATTTGACGATTGAATTTCACTTCCCTACGTTTTTTTATTCGTACAACATATTTTCACAAAAACATTATGACATTGTTTATGGCCTGAAGCTAGCGCAGTTAAATACATAGTTACGATCAGGGTACCCACCTGCTCGTTTGCCCAATTTTCTATAAAAAAGCCGAACCAAATTATTTGTAAAGTTTGGTTCTACTATTATATTTGCTATAGCAAGATTACAAAGTAAAATGACTAGGCATAATTTGTTTTATTATTCTTGCTTTTAACTATTAAAAATATTTTCGTAAACGTATAAAACTCAGTATTTGAGTTTTATACGTTTACTACACTACTTAATATAAATTAGTTAATTTTGACATTCGTGAAGATTTAAACAAATTAAATGTAATTTGAATCTGGATCGACCGATGCAAAAAGAACCCAAATAGGTATTACCACAATTGGCCACGCTGTCTAATTGAAAACTGTTTTAAACGAAGTGTAAAATAAGGTTCCGTAAAAGTGAATGTGAGTCTTGACTTTGCATTGTCTATACTCTGTGTTATATTACAACAAGACTTCCAAAGATATAATATAATACAATGTCACAAGTCATCAGTTTGAATGTATCTATAATCCACGAATATCGATTTTTGATTTCAACGACTCTACATGTGCAAATAAAATTCAACCACACCTTACCATACTCCAGGTAAAGTCAGCCACGCTCTCAACCACCCATTTAATAGGTAACGACCTTCGGGGTTTAGGTTCGAAATAATATCCCACTTCGTCGACACGTAGCTGACAATGAAACACGCGTATTGCGTATTTTAAACACATACATTTGAGAGATTTCTTGCGAGTTATCAAGGATACGGCATGTTTTCCATTTTCAATTGTTTTAATATGCAAAAAATTATTTAATACAGTTCAATTAATTCGCTTCCTATCCTTGTGGACCCAAAATCAGAACAAACCTTGTTCTGATTTTGGGGTTCGGATTTTGGGACTAGTATAGACTCTACACTAAACATCAAATCATTCAAAAAATCCATTCGAAGTTCAATATCAGAGATACAGAATTAATCAGTTTCATAATAACACAATTCTATCCTACATGAATCCCGACAAACGTGTGTTGACGTAACGATTTAAAATTCCGCCGAGCGACGCAATTAATGGTCAGAATTTTCGGATTACACTTTGGTGATTTTGCGAAATTTCACGGTTATTTAAAAGCAGCAATTTCGGGAGCGATTGCACAAAGCGAACGCGTCCGTTGTTTCGAATGAGTAATGTTGGTTTTGGGGTTTTTAATTAAGTATTAATTAAACTCTGACGTAAAAATTAATACTCGGAATTCGATATTTTATATGTAACGTAATTAAACGGCATCTGGGCAGAGATGACGTGGCAGGGGATGACTCTCGGGGTGCGGGTCCCAACCCTATGAAATTCATCAATGAGCTTCCGAATTTCGGACCCTTCTACAAGCAAATCAGCGGTTCCATCTGTGCTGACTAAAAAAACTCATAGAAACATTAATAGATTTTGCTATTTTTCTCTTACCTTTCTCTTATCGACATCATTCTTATCACTAACTATAATTACTTGTCGACTACCGTCTCCTTCATACTGTACCGGCGGGCAGTAACATCAGCCTTCTGCGCGTGACCTTATCCAAACTTGCTCAGAACTTTTCCTCCATCGAGGAGATTTTCTTTTGCCTATTACCTTACCAGTATACCGTCGCCACGCTGGTTCAAATTGAAACGAGTGAAGGTGGTTTAATATAAAGAGGGTTAAAATGTGACCATCTCAATTCCAGGTCCCACTATGCGGAGTCTGTGATCGGCCGATCGGTGCGTGAGCGGTGCTTGCGCGTACAGGATGACATCGGAGAGGGCGATCCCGCACCTGCGCGACATATTCAGCCTGAACCAGCAGTACGAGTCGAAGCAGTACGATGAGAACGAAGACAAAAACAAGAAGGCGACGCGAAAGAAGAAGGAGGAGTTCCGCACGTACCCGAACGGCGACGTGAAGACGTTGGAGAGGCACCTCAGCATGAAGAAGACGATCAGGAAGAAGATAATGCGCGACCTGCAGCAGGCGTTCGTGGAGGACCCCAACGAGTTCAAGGTCGAGAACACGAGCCCGGAGAAGCTGAAGGCGGAGCTCAGCGCGGAAGCGGTGAAGATAGAGAAGAACGTGCGCAAAAGCGACCCGACGTTCCTGGACATGCTCCGCGGCGAGACCAGGGGCGAGGAGGCGCGCGAGGAACAGCCGCCCGCGGAGAAGACCAGTTTCTGGCGGCGTCTGACCATGAAGAATAAGAACAAGAGATAATTCGGACGGTGGTAGCCGAATGCCTACTCCGTTTTTACCTATACGCCTATTCTCTAGGAGATCGACGTCATTGCGAACGATTGGAAACGTTGGCAGCTCATCCTCTCTCGAATAAATTCTCGATCTCCTAGAGAATATTGAAAACTCTCTTTTATATATTTTTTGATCTCTGTGTCTGTTATAAAATGGTATTCGATGTTGTCCTATTCTAAAGCTGCTAAGGAATTGTTTTACGTTTAAACTATGCAATTGTGAGAATTGCAAATGCTGTTAATCGTAAAGTTAGTTGGAAAATAGGTATGAGTGTCGTGTATATTCCATTCTGCGACTGAAAAGTCTATACACTGCCTATAAAGTAACGACTGAATTTTTTCTATTGTCTCTTCCAATATTGTCTATTGACATTATACTATATATTAATAAAACAATATACTATATAATATACATAAAATAAAACATGTCGCATACCAGAATTCATCGAATTCGGTATCGGATTAAATCATGCTTTCTAAGACACTAAGTGTGTTTCCGATAAAATTTTACAAGAAATATTTCATTTATTGTGACTGTTTTATAAAACATTGCATTTTTCTAATTATTACCTGGAACTAATTTAGTGAAATTGGGAAAAAGTACAATTAGTCTTTTTAAACACCAATTAAATCCTAAAACATATAGATTATCTCATTAAAATGAAATTTTGCGCATAGAACTAAGGTATTTAGTTTACATCTAATATCTATCTCTTTCTACCCTGTTATTATCAAAAGTATATTATGCCACTTAATCCTTAATTGTTGAATTTTTAAAACAATTGAAGAAATACTTATGAAAATACTTGTTGATCGCTCATTTATCATAAATTTATTTTCTTCACTTTCTTTACATTCCAGATCTTTTGTGTCAACTTAGAAAATATAGACATTATAACCTATAGCAGTTTTTATGATATATATATTAATACACTGTGCTATAATTTATGCTATAGTAAGCAAATGCCTTGCTATACACTTGCTTTATACTTATACCTGTCTTGTACTTAAAGAAAAGAAATCTAGTTATAGGTACGCATTAGGTTTATTTTTTATTCTTTTGTCTTCGTCATTCGGTACACGTTTTTTGTAACTTGCGGGTTGAAACCGAGTAAGTCGTCATGCATTGGCCAACTTTATCTGTGGATTATCGAAAACAATCTCGTTTATATGTGATGTAACGTTAAGTCGGCAAAATAGGAAAGGAGCGTATAGAGTGCGTAGTTTAAGCGATACTTAAGCGCTCCCTAATCGTGTAGTATAAGGTTTGTAGGTTCGTGGCAGTTTCCTGTTGTGACATTTTTATTGTAATTGTCATATATAAAGTGATTTTACACATTTATATCTTGAGTTTTATTACTACCTTTCTACAATTAAGTAACTAAAAAAAGATACTTCATTTAATACATTTTCAAGTTTTGCCACAATTTTCTTATTACTAAGAGGAAATTAATATGATATGTAATTATAATCGAATAACTTATCGTTTTAATTTCATATCGCTGTACGCATAATAAAACTTCACTCAATAGGTTTTTCCCTAACTAAACTAAAATATACTAGTAAAGTAATAAGTAGTTTCAGTGAAGTGTTAATAGTAGTTAACGAACATGTTCAAAAATACGTGTAAAAGATATGCATAATAGTCTTCCTAATGAGAACTATGTGAATTTATAATTTTTTTTCAATATTATCGAAAACATAGAGTTACTTTTATTTCCGTTTAGTTAACAATATTATGAATTTAATAAAAGTTTCGCTGTGTTGACAATTGGACACTGTATAAGGTTGCTAGGAATCGGTGTAACCAGATGCTAAACGATGCTAAACGCCGATATATCCTTGATAACATAGTTTCGTCTTCACCCGCTGATATCTGGAAGTTCCTTGGAACTATCGGAATCGGCAAAAAATCACAGTATGATTATAGGAGTTCAATGGATTTGGATGATATCAATCGTTACTTTGTGTTGCATACTCCAATCGATATTGAAATCAAGCTTCTCACTATCGAGGAATTAAAGAACTTACCTCGTCCTAATATTGACCTCTTTAATTTTTCTCCAGTTGCTGTGGATGAGGTCAAGAAGATTATCCTTTCTATCAAATCAAATGCGGTAGGTTATGATCAAGTGAGCCGCCTCAAGATTGTATATATCCTAGATCATCTCCTTCCTATTATATCCCATATTATTAATTCATCCGTTATTTCTGGAGTCTATCCCTTACTTTGGCGCAAACCTTATGTACTTCCCTTGCCTAAGATTGCAAATCCTTCCTTGCCCCATCATTTCAGACCTATTTCCATCCTTCCCTTTCTATCAAAAGTACTTGAAGCTTGTGTACACAAACAACTATCTTGGTTTGTCTTCAACAAAAACCTCTTAAGCTCTTTTCAATCTGGCTTCAGGCCTGGGCATAGTACAATTTCCGCGCAACTTTAAGTCACTAGTGATATTAGGGCGGGAATGGAGGCCAGTAAAATCACAGTGTTGGTTTTAGTGGATTTCTCTAACGCATTTAATGTCATTAGTCACGACATCCTTCTTTCCATCCTATCCTATTCTATGATCTCACCCACAGCGCTGGATTGGTTTTCAAGTTATCTTCGAGGGCGTCAGCAGTTAGTTCGCATAAATGATACCTCTTCTCGTTGGAATGACTTAATTGCTGGTGTGCCTCCGGTATTTTGCGGTATTTTGCGAAGTCTCTACCGCCTACGCAAATTTCTTCCGTCCAAAACAAAAGTTTTACTTGTGCAGTCCTTAATTCTTCCCTTGATGTATGCTATTCTGATCTGAATGCAGATCTTCTCAACAAATATGACCGTCTTCTCAATAACTGCATTCGATTTGTTTTTAACCTTCGTAAGTATGACCATGTGTCTGCTTTTCGGTCTCAACTTAATTGGCTTCCCATTCGTCAACGCCGTTGTTTGCGCATGCTCACTACACTTCATTCCATATTAACCTCTCCCAATCCCCCTTCCTATTTGATTACCTTTATCCAATATCTTTATTCCAATCATGACAGAACTCTTCGCTCCTCTAATAATCTCTTGCTTCAATGTCCCTCCTACAACTCTAGTTTTATGTACTCTTCTTTTCCCGTTCAATCCATTCTCCTTTGGAATGACCTTCCGTATGACATCAGGAAGACCACTGAACGTAATGCTTTTAAGAATAAGATAAAAAAACTATATCTAAGTAAGTTGGCAGAATAAAATCATCAGTAGTTGTTGATATCGTATATTATTTATTTATGTATATTAATTAAATATTTGTGAATATTATAGTATATGTATTCTATTTTGAATCCTTTAATAATGTGTTTTGTTATATTGGGTTTAATATGTTTATATACGTTATATATTTTCATGTCTATGTTTTAAATTTAATTATATATGAATATGTATATAACTTTTATTTTAACTTAAAATTTGATTTGAGATTTTTTACACCTGCCTCTTTTGTCTCTACGTCGCCCATAGGTTGACTGATAGAGAATGCCTTAGGTATTAAGTCCGCCTATACACAATGCTAACTTTTTGTGTAAAAGTTTAAATAAATAAAATAAATAATTTTTCATGATAATTTGAGCATAACAATTTCGTTTATTCGCACTTGCATTTATAACTAGTTTTGGATATTTTTTTTATAAAGTGATTTATTTAATACCACAACTAAAATATTTAAAGTGAACGATAACAATTTTCTGAAAAAGATTTGAAAACATGCTTAGTTGTGGATGCTGCTCTAGTGCCTGCAGTGGGTATTGAAAAATCCGTAAGGCACCAGTTCACCAGGTCACTACACCTTGGAATCTTTTAATACACAATTAAATAGCTTGGTACCATTAATGAAAAACAAAGTAATGAAAAGAAATTATACAAAAAACAAATACAAAATCAAACTAAAACACCAAAATTTAATAGAAAACTAAACTATACGTTTGGAATATAATTCGTATAAAAATGCGCGCCCTCATGCGTTGTGACGATAATTTGTGTATGAGAATGTGTACATGTGCATGTGTTTAGAGTCAATTTTTAAAAACACTTATATCCTAAGATATAGATAAGAGCCGTGATAGCTCAGTGTCCGGGCGCTCGCCTTTAATTTAATATACTCGAGCAACCTGAGTTCGATCCCCGGTGCCAGCACCAATGAAATTGACAATTTTATATGCTGAATTATCATGTGCTCAGCGGCGAAGGAAAACATCGTGAGGAAACCTGCACATTTTCGAAATAATAAAAAAAATGTTTGGAAGATTGTGAAGTCCGCCAATCCGCAGTAAGGCCGCGTGGTGGACTATGCCCTAATACCCTCTGCACAGAGGAGGCCTTTGCCCAGCAGTGGGGTAAGTATCACTCTTTGTGCTCGTTCAATTTGAATAAGTTGGGTCTTAGCAGTGGCACCCCATAATGTTATACAATAATTTAGTATCGATTGGCAGAAACCAAGGTACACCATTCTTATTATTTCTTTGTCTGCAGATGGACGAAGTTGTTTAAAAATATATATTAGTTTATATTAGAATACTTTGTTTGATAAACTGAGAACATGCTCTTCAATAACTATTCCCAAATAAATAATAGAATAGACGTTTTCTATAGGTATTTCTGAAGAATTGTAACTATAGCATCCGGCAACCAGTGGTTTCACAACAACTGGCTGATTATTGCCTGTTTGTGATTTTATTTATATATTATTTTGGTATAGAAAAGTTTACAATCTTGCTTTTTGCAATGTTTAAAATTTCTATGTAACCAAAGATTAACTTTATTAAAGCCAGATTGTGAAAATCGATAAGTTTCTAACCATGTATTAGAGCTAAAAAAAATTACCGTATCGTCTGCGTACGAGAAAATAGCACCGTTTTGAAGATTAAGATTACAGAGATCATTCATGTATACTAGAAAGATAGGGGCCCAATATACTACCTTGTGGCACACCGTAGTTA